CCTTTGTTGTCAATGACAGCTTCAAGACGCCTCCTGTATGGAGAAACTAGTGGCATGCATTGCTCAGGTGTGTCTTTCCATGCCTTTTTACACCTCCCTTTCTTCATGTGTTCAATACTTTTTCCCTGTGCCATTCCACATTATTACAAATAACTTCATTTCTGGACATTTATGGTTTGATTTCTTTGTATGTATGGATCACAAAACAGTGTGAGGAGTCACCCCAAAACCCTTAACAACAACACACACAATGACACATAACACAAAGTATCAGAACAATTAGAAATATATCGTAATGTAGAGGGAAATTTCCTTTAAACTTGAACAAAAAAACTTTATTTAACAGAGTGACAAAATCATACAGACACAAGTTTAACTTTTCATTTTTGTTTGATTTAAATGAAACAACAGCTTGATTTACAGATGAAACAAATTAACAATATAATAATCAGGTGAGAAACGTGGTAAAATAGTTACTGTGTTGTTCTCATGCCATTCAGGTGTGTTTTAACCAAGTTAAATACTGTCGATTTGACTGATGCACTTAATGTTTTACATGGTAATTAAGTTTGATTTCAGAAATTTAAACATTTAAACAAAAAACATTTAATACACCAAATCCAATACAAACAATAAAAGTTAATGTAAAATCATTGCACAATAACTGGGTTTATAAAACACTAAAGAGTTCAGAAATTCTGTCTATAAAAACACAGTTTGATCCTCTWAACAGAAGGTTGTTGATTCACTAAACATCACAGAAACTTTAGGATTTTTACACAAATATTTTCTGTCGCTGATGTCAAGATAAAGTACAAATTAAACTTGGATTTTATACAAACACATATTATGATATTTTAGAGGATTTAGAGGACATGATGTGAATAGAAGTGTTACTTTATTATTTTTTCTGCCTTGAGATCTGCAGGCCGGAGTCATGTCCTTTATTGTTTTTGAACAGAACAAACCCAGACTGTTAGCATGAGTGAAATGGTTGTTTCCTCTGTAAAACAGTGACGAAGTAATGCTCCTGGAGTGATAAAATTACAGGTAAGTACAACAAAGAAACAGGTGTTTGGCTGTAAAATGACCTGACAAAACACAATCAGTATCACAGAAAAGTATTTTTCTAATTTGACCACGAGGATGATGTTACCATGTGAGGTCTGAAGAGTTTTTCTGATGTCAGCAGGCAGATGTCACGGCCTGTCCCAATCAGTGGCTACTCACTCCCCCTGCCAGGGGCGGAGTGGGGGAACCTTTCAGCCCGGGACTTTAATGGCCAAGACCGGCCCAGTTTTTGTACTTATAAAAAATGAGGCAAAGATGCWCTAGCATGTAATATTTTTGTATTTTGTATTCACCGATGAAAACCTGCCTCTTCACACTTCATCAACAACAAAGTAAATGTTTCTGCTGTGGTGCAATAATGTGTACTCAGTCACAGATATGATGTTCACCAGGATTATACTGTGTACTGCAGCAGCTCTTTAAACTCAGGAGTTCAGTTTGACAATCAACTAGTTTCACTGARCAGTTCAGTTCTGTAGTACACAGGTGGTGTACTACAGGTGTGTTGGTTTATTATCTCTAATGTTGATCAATGAGCATCAGAAGCATTGTGATGTGTGTGTGTGTGTGTGTGTGTGGGGGGCATTAGTTTGGGGTCTGGGGGTCCTTTAACACCTCTGATGGTGAGGCTTTGTGCAAAAGTTGCCCTGTTTATCAGAGGATTTAAACACTTATAAATAGGGCTTAAATAACTGAGATAAATACATTTTTAAATGAATAAAGGAAATCAGCATCAGATATCAAATTAACACCAAATAAGTGTAAAATATCTGAAAGTACTCTACGGTTTTTATCAGTTTTCTTTCCTTTATTTAAACAACATATTTAATTTACTTATACTGGTCTACAGAAAAAATAAACTCATGAAACYTTCTTAAAATACTTCTCTTTTACACCAGTTTGCATTATTTATAATCAGGACTGAGCAGTGACCTGCTTATTTAGGAAAATGTTTGTATTTTTGTAATACTTTATTTTAAATTGTAAGGCAGTACAGTGTACACTGAATAATGTGGATAATAGTACAAACTAAAACAAATAACTAGGAAAAAGAAAAGAAAAAACTTGTCTTTTTCAACATATTGTTGCATAAGATACTCAGTTTTGTGGTTATCCCTCCACACTCCGCCCAGCAGGTGGCGCTGCTGCACCTGTGGTCTGTTTAACTACGGTTATTTAAACGAAGAAGAAGAAGAAACCGGAAGTACGTTTCTGTTAAAATGAACCAAGAAGGCAACCGATGCTAAATGTTAGGACCTTACACCGCCAAGTGGTAGGTCTGTTTAACTCCTGAGTGTAACACGGTTTGTCTAACAGAGRAGAAGACTAACTCAGTGTTAGATAAGATGAACACTTTAACTTGTGTTCATCACAGGCTGGCTTTACGTGTTGCTGCTGCTGTAATCCAGCTAACACAGATTAGCTAGGTAAACCTGACTCTCCCGATGACGCAGGAACTTAAAGTATCCGTGGTGAAAGTTAAAATATATATTTTACAGAGCTTGTTTCTGTCATAAACCCGGATGAAGGTGACGCTGTGTAGTTGCCTGACAACGAGCTCTTAAAGAGACAGGAACCTGCAGCAGCTGCAGGCTTCAATCAGCTGTTGTTGTTGTTGTTGTTGTTGTTGTTGTTGTTGTTGTTGTTGTTGTTGTACTGTTTGTGTTCTGATGGACACACCGTGCCCTGTGTGACCTGCTGCAGACAAACATGGACGAGGAGCTGGAGGAGTTCATCAGAGAGAGGAAGCAGCGAGTGGCTGAAGACAGAGCCCTGCTGGACCTGGACCTGGACCAGGACCTGGACCAGGACCCTCCTTACCTGGACATGAAGGTAGTCCTGCAGTGTGGTTCTGTTCAACAGGTCAGCTTCAGACCAGCTGGACCAACACGGTCCTTCAAACTAAACTAAACTAGCTTTTATWAATCATAAATATTAAACAGTCCTGAAAAGATGAAGTTAATGAGGAAAACTTTGAATCAAACATGAAGTCATCACTCATGATGTTCATCCCTCTGACATTTTATGGACAATTGTTTTGTTGACAAAACTGAACATTTCACTTTTATCTGACATATTCTTCAAATACACAGTACCATGACTGGATGAATGTGAAGAA